GATAGTTCTCTGTGCAGACGATGTCTAGAAGCAGATGAAACGGCCGCTCATGTGATCCTGGAGTGCATGAGTGTGGCAGAACACCGGGCATCAATCCTTGGGACGCCGAGGACGCTCCTAGAAGCCTGTGAGAGTCCCAGGAGACTACTGCGCTTCTGGAAGGAGCTGGGCTGGCTGAGCTAGCTAGCCCAATCAACCCTGCACGCACAATGGACCAATTATGAGTCTACGTGCGGAAACGGGGGCCCACAACAAGTGACAAGTGACAAGAAAGGCCAAATAAAGATAGGGTTAATGGGGTTTTTTTTCTGTAACTGACTTTCAAAGTAAATTAAGGCATTTTTCAAGGAAAAAAAATAATTATTTTCTTTTATTTAAATCTTTGCCTATCTCTCAGTTATGATGAATTTCAGTAAAACACAGTTGTTAATGACCTAAATTCTACTACTACTTACTTACTCGTCTTGTTCTGCCGTTTTTTCTCGACCACTATTTTGTATTTTTTGTATTTTCACGCACACCAATCACTAAATAAAACACTGTTTTAACCGATTAATGACGCGTTTTAAATACTTTTATAGATACATATCTTAACGTTTCGGATCCTGATTTTGTTCTAAAGAGTATGATTATAATAAATAATTAATTCAGTTCTCCCTGCGTGTTGGTCCACGGTGCTCATCATAGATTTGCTTGTTTTATTTAATACACCATTTTGAATAAATTAATACTGTAACTAACAGTTAAAACCTATTTCATCATCATCAACCTCTTAATGTCCCCACTGCTGAATAGGGAGATTGGGCCATGACCCACCACGCGGGCCCAGTGCGGATTGGCGGGTGCTAACGACTGCATGTGCAATCGGGATCAACGGCTTAACGTGCCTTCAGAAGCACGGAGGAACTCGAGATAGAATTTTTTGGTCACCCATCCAATGACCGACCACTGCGAAAGTTGCTTAACTATACAGATCGCAGCCGAACGCGCTAACCACCTGCGCCATCGAGCTCCGCTACCTACCTTGAAGTCAATTCAATTCAATTGAATTATTTATTTCAGAACTAGGTTTACATAGTTTTAGTAACATTTGATATACTTATAAACCATGTTAGTATAATAGAAATTATACAAAATATAATTACATGTCAAGAGTTATACTCACAGAAATATTATTTCTGTTGTTAACTATGTATAAACTAGATAAACGAAAAAAAACGTTACTAAACACGTTTTTTTTCTAAATTGTTGTTGCATCTTATCGACATAATTACTAAAATATAATAGAAAACTAATAATATATTCAGGAAATACAGACTAACAAATGAAAAATATCGCTGAAAGGGCCAATCTAATGAATCAAAACGAAAAACAGCGCCAAAACTCTTTTAAAATAAAAATAAATAAATTGTTGGTTCTAAATTGTTTTTTTTTCTTGATAAGAGTAAACAAATCTCTTTGTAAAACAATAATCTTGGCAGCAGTTCAACGGCTTGAAAAACAAAAGACCATACGAATAAAGAATTCAATAGAAATCAAATCAAGAGTTCGTCTGCCGTGGGTGCGAGGGTGACCGCTATAGCTGGGAAAGCTTGCGCGGGAAAGGGACGTACGCAACGTTAATCCTATTGGCTTATACCGGGCGACGTTTGCCACGATTGGTCGCCGTGCCTTATTGAACTGTCACTGAAGACCACGGCTTAGGGGGCGAACGGTAATTCGGGGGCAAAACGGGGAGAAAAGTCTGGGGGAAAAGGGAGGTGGGTGGAAAAGCCGTTTCACAGTATGGAGTTTGGCGATTGACTTGTGGGTAGTTTTTAGGGGTCCCTTTTGTAGAAGTTAAAAGGGTCTGCCGATCGATACAGTAAGGTAGGTTTGTGTTTCGTCATTTTATATTTTGATGCTGATTTTGAAAGATTAAACAAATTCGTCGTTTTTGACATATTATATACCTAGTGAGGTCAAAAAAAAAATTATAAATTCCCTCGAGCGTGAATAGTCGTAGAGACTTAGTTTTGATGCTAGCAGACAGTTGTAGGTATAAATACTGTCATTATCTTCCATAATTTTAAAATTTTCAGAAAACAGCAAGTTTATCTCGGTCTCGGAAGCTAAGTAAGATGTAAAACAAGCCCGCGATAACGCTGTGAAGGTCACCTGCGTTTAAAACATTAATCACTTAAAATCTTAGCCATTATAGTTATAACTAATTTAGGTATGCGTCAAAATACATATTAGGTTTCTGTTGAGCTATTTGTTATATACTTAGCGTTGCGTATAATTCTAATGTTAAAATTTTTAAAATTAATATTTATGTAACCTTTTACTTATTACAACCTGAGTGATTAAATTAGTTTGTGAAAGGTTGCAACATGAACTAACCGCACCTTTATCCCAACCCAACAAAATAATATCTCTAAATTATAAGTCCAGATCCAGATACAATATCAACCTTTAAATCCGACATAGGTAAGTAATATCAATCGTGACATCAAATTAACGTAAAAACAGAACAAATTGAAATTACAATCACATCAAAAGGGCGTATTCTTTGTACTACATAATATTTCTATACCTCGCCCAAATGTAATGTGGTTGTACGGAAGTATAACTCAGGCGGATCACGTTATGTCATTTCCCTTACGCTCTCAGCCAATAAAAGAGCTCGGTGTGTTTGACTTTTCCTCTCTGACGTCACTTTTGGCGGGAGAGCGCGCGATTCGCCACGCCCTGCGCGCCCTTATTGGGCGAAATATCAAATGTCATTGGAGCAGTACACCTTAATATAGGTACTGCCTATTTTACTTGACATTGGCTGAACGCATAAACCGTGCATGCCATAAAAAAAAGAAAAAGAAGGTACTGCCTACTAGATTTTTAAACTTACATTATAAAAGTAGGTACTTACTGTCTGAATGCGTTTCCTTGGACCATGCTTCGATGTTTGCCGCGATGTGACGCCAGGTTTTGTTTCGTTAGTGGTTCTTTTCTACTGTAGTTTTTTTGGTGGATAGAAAAAAGAACACTTTTGTTTAGCGCTGTTATCTATAAAAACTGAACTTATCGACCATAGAAGCCGGACTTTTGGAAGCAAAAACAAAAGTATCTTTTTTGGCATAAAGTTCAGATAAATCATGTATTTTATAAGAACGTTATCAAATAAAAAATTTTTCAAAAAGTTGTTTCTAAACATGCCGTGTTGTTTAAAAACAACTACCGGATTTCCGGAAAAAACATTTGGTCTTAAGTGTGACTGTTGTAAGTTGAGTAGCTGGCGAATAAAACGGTATAATTACATAAAATTAAATTTTACAGGAGCAGTATAAAACTGAATGACATGCCTATAGTGAGCTTTTGGCATGGTTTTTATTTATAAATTTAGTAATTTTAACACTGTTTTAGGCGGTTTTGATTGAACATTATTTGAGATTAAAATTCAACGGGCCCGAAACCACCGGACTGCTAAAAATTTTGCCTCAGTCGTGAAGATAAGTCTAAAGCTAATTTCCTTATTATAGGGAATGGATTTCTGGCTACCTCACTTATAGGATGAGAAATAACATCTGGATCTTTAGTGCGACTGTTGCAAAGTTGCGAAGATAGGTCTAAAGTCAATTTCCTTAACCCACGGATATCTGGCTACTTCATTTATAGGATGAAAACAGCCGAATCCGCCAGTGAGATTAGTGTTCATATTTGAAATCACACAGGAAAAGTGAGTTTGTTCTTACAGAATAACACTAAAACTACCTAGCTTTCACAAAACAGAAAAAAAATATTATGAAGAAACTTAAATAAGCATTTGCCATTGCCAGTAAAGTTACCTACAGTTGGCATCGGTAAAATTATCAGCCTTTATCCCATTGACGGTTAAAACAGCAATTCCGTTCTCTGTAATTGGAAACCAAAATACCTATTCGATTTCCAAGTGAAAATCTACGGCGTCATTATTCTAAACGGCTCGGCGGCGCGGCACGGGCAGCAGACACAGCGCTGTAATACCACAAATTAAAGCTTAAAACGGCCGCTTAACAGCTGACCCAAAAACCATCTCCCCGCGCTACCCTTTTGTGTGCTCCAAATATTGAGACGGTCCGAGGATAAGTTTGTTTTTTACTTTTTATTTACTTCATGAAAAACCGCGACATTGCTGCATCACACAAACAAACCAACAACCAACCAAACAAACTCACTTTCGTATTTATAACATTAGATTGGTTGCTTTTATATACTTCATGAAATACAGCAACATTGCTGTATCACAGGCATTGCTAATGTCCATGGGCGATGGGACCACTTAACATCCGGTAGCCATTCCGCTCAATAAAAAATACAAAGAAATCATTTGTAGACAGTCAACTTCTCGCGGTTGTAGGTAACTAACAGAATTTGAAATAAAAGTCAATTCTATGTCTGGGATCTTAATTTGTATATATTTTGTTTTATGTGAGAGAATAAAGAAATTAAAATCATTCGTTAGTCCGGTATACCCTGCGTGTATAAGTCAAGAAATCTAGTGTTTCGCTTGATTGATAAATTGCTTCGTAAAAAAATGAATTGAAAATATTAATTTCTTTATAGTTATTTTTACTGCTTATCCCATTGATTTAGTGAGAAAAACTTAATTGTAAAGTAGTTTTACTTATGCAGATTTCCTAACCCGCTGTCATTTTAAGTTAATCTTAACGCTTTCAATTGGATTCTGACTACCTATTCTTTGATTTTAAAATTTAAAGATTGCATTTACAACAATAACGTAATTTTTTACTATGCTGTAATAAGTAATTTCAAATGTCTTCTTTAAAACTTTATCCGCCTTATTACGAAACGTAGACTAAAATTAAACCGGGACTAAAACTGATGCTAACACTTTTGTTTGCAAAAAGAAAACAGAGACAACATTTGGTTTAAACCAAGACAACTTTAGTCCGCATTTAGGAATAAGGCGGTATTAGTTTTCCTAACATTATCTGTAAAAGCTCCAGTTTGTAGTCACCCCATCTCTCCCAGCACTACCCCACGTCAGACGCGAAAAGCAACGGGCGGGGCGGCCACGCCTACGCCCAGCTTACGGCGGCGGTACCGCGTCAAAAGTGCCCTGGTCGCCGCGGCGAAAACGGCTGCTCCCTAGCGCGCTTGACGAAAAAAAAACATACGTCACGGTTCCGCTCCCGCGCTGCGCACACAGATCCGGCGGAAATTTCGCTTTTTTTTAAGTTTTACCTGTTCGATTTTTAAAATTCACTTTTTTATTTCTTCAACAGCTATAACATTCAATCATATAAGTTGTTGACAGAGTTTATTTTTCAATTGTAACTGTAACATGAAACGCTTATGAACTCAAGTTTTAGTTAAATAACTAAGTAGTGATAGTTTTTTTTTATAACAATGGAAGTCGCCCAGACTCCCCTTCAGCTCACTCAGGATCATCAAGACGGCAGAATCAGGGGTATGCTCTTAAAATCAAATTTTACTTGTAAAATAATTATACTGAATTGAGAAGGCATGAATTTTTTCAACGTAGGCAAGTAATTACAGCCTGTAAATTTAATTATAAAATTAAAATACCTACTACAAAATAGCGAATAAAAAACAGATCCAATGAAATATTCGTGACAGTTGACAGTGTTTAAATTAACCTTTATTTTGGGAGAAAGTTTTAATCACCCGTATTATAGACAACTGTTTATTAAATATTGATCTTAAATATATTTAGTACCTACCACAAAGAAATAAAGGATATCAATTTGAAAATAAAACATAAAATTTACTTCCAAAAGTACCATAGAGTTGCGAGTCTCAGTCATTGTATACCTATATTATCATTTATTGCCCATCTTAAATAAGGAACTACCTATTTTATTATTCTGATTTTACGAGTAGGTATGGTATGGTAACTCAAAATTGCTAACATTGACGGAGTCTGGAGTAAGTCACTGTTGTAAGCACGCTATCTCATAAAAGGCTATACTTTGGTCCAATAATTTAATAATAACAGCACTCTATTATGCGTCTTATTTTTGAAAATAAAATATGTATGTTGTAGTGACACATCCAGCGGGTGACCGAGACAAAACGTGTTTCTGGCAACTGATTTGGTTTATCTTATTTGTTTAAAAGTAAAGGAAAATAATCAAATTGTCTCATGAAAACAACATGATTAATTTCCTTTCGCCATTTTCAAGTATAGCTAAGGTGAAATTTGCAAAAAAAGACAAACTAAGCGATTTTTTACGTGAAAACTTAAGAGATTGCCTTTGAGACGTACGAGTATTTGTGGCAACTTTTTTGGTTTTTCAAGTATTTAGAAGTAAAGGAAAGTAACTTAGTTGTTTGAACAAGGTTACACTAGTTATATTTTTTTAAGCATGTAACTGCTCAATGTTTAAATCGCGCTGTCTTGCAGCTTAAGAAAGGCTAGAAAGAATTCGACACGGCCATCAGGGCCGCGGTAGCACAATGGTGTGTGTGCATTCGCCCGGATAGCGAAAGGTGCGGGATCTACTCCCGTCTGCTGCCCGGTCCGCGTAGAATTTTGTCCAGTTTTTTTTTTTATATTTCCAACACCCACACCAATTAGCCTAGCCCCAAAGTAAGCACTATAAGGCTTGTGTTATGGGATGCTACATATACTGTACATATAAAAGTATATTTATATAAATACATATTAAACATCCATGACTGGAGTACAAATGCTCGTATTCATCACACAAACATCTTCCGTGGTACCTCTCGAGTCTGCGACACCATGAAACCCGGCGTACTAACCACTCGGCCACGGAAGTCGTCATTTTTCTTTAGCTGGATTTTCTTTAGATTCTTCAGGTTACTTTCTTATTTTCAAGAACGATTAAAGCGATTTTTCATGTGAAAACGGCGTTAGGTACCCTCGTGAAAACAATTTCATTACTTCCCTTTATTTTTAAATAAATATAAAAAAAAAAAAAAACAGTAGGCAGAAATACGTTTCATATGCAAGAGCATATCTTGCCAACTTGGAAAATCGTTTAAACCGTTTTTCCCCCAAATTTCACCTTGCTGTTACTTAAAAATACTAAAAACAACTTGATTACTTTGCTTCAGCTTTAAATAATAAAATAAACCAAAACCTTTATTATAAATACGTTTTGTGCCCACTGCCGCTGCTGCTGGATGTGTCTGTTAGTTTCAGCTACATTATAATTAAATAGTAATAATATCTCTTATCTATTAGACAAGTCCGTCCGTCCGTCCGTGCGTGGTGCTGTTTCAGCGGCCAAACCGTAAGAGATAGATAAATAGAATGTTTCAGTTATAAGTTAAGAATAGTCTGATAAGACTACAAACCGGATTTGAGTAACGTAGCAGTTCCGGTTTTCGAGAAATAACGTGATTTCTATTTCAAACGAAACCACACAAAATCTCTGAAGTTGTCAATTAATTAAATACATTTTTTTTTTTGGTGAACATTTGGTTCACTGGTTTGCTTGTATATAGTTAAACTAGCTGTCCCAGTAAAAAAATAGGGGTTGGTGGTAGAAAGGTGAAAATTAAGAGTTGTATGTATTTTTGTATTATGTATCATAAAAAAATAAAAACTAAAAATTTTGACTAAAATAAAAAATATAAGGGTGGACCACCTAACATTTAGGGGAATGAAAAATAAATAGATGTCCGATTCCCAGACCTACTGAATATGCATATAAAATTTTACGAAAATCGATTGAGCTGTTTCGGAGTAGTTCAATTACGATATACACGATAAACATCGTGACACAAGAATTTTATATATTAGATAAAGTAATTTCCGTTAATACAAGGTACCTGACGTGGTTTTAAGCTCTCTTTAAGTTCCAATGATGCAAATGGGTAATCACTAAAGACATACTTACTATCCATACAGTATACTCAGATAGTGCGTAGTATTTACTTAGATATGATATATTTTTAGTAGATATGACTTATAATTCTATTACAAAACGACAGTAAGTAATTGAACAGCTGTTTAAAGTTGTTTGCTTATGTTGTGTGTGTGTTAGCCCAAAAGAACATCATATTATATGAGTATTACTTTATTTTTAGCACTATTTTATCGAAAACCTCATGAACGAACTGTCTTCTACTGCCGTCACTTGAGAATAATGTATCTTTGATATGATGCTCAATTATCCTCGCGATAGTAATATAGTATCCATTTGCCGACCTCCGTGGCCGAGTGGTATATACGCCAGGTTTCATGGTGTCGCCAACTCGTGAGGGTTCCAATTTCCTGTGGGAGCAAATGTTAGTATGATGAATACGAGCATTTATACCTTAGTAATGGATGTTTATATATATTTCTTTATAAATATACTTATATATGTATTCTAACGGTTACCCTAGTATCCCATAACGCAAGCCTTACAGTGCTTACTTTGGGGATAGGCTAATTGGTGTTAGTGTGGGAATTATTATTATTATTATTTACAATCAATATGAGGTAAGGTGAGTTCATTTGTCGCGCTTCGTATAAAAAAGTTAGCTAGTGCGATCGAAGCCCAGTAGCAACACCATCTGATGCCATAAAGAAATTTACCGCTCCTATCATCTCACCCAATCTCCCAGTAATATGATATTTGACGAAAAGTATAACGTCATAGCTATTAACGGGATTGTTACCATGTACCTTGTTTTTTATGAGTCTCCGATGTTTCGGCACTGTTGCAAGCGCCATGATCACGGAGTAACTCCGTGTCATAAAAATAAGCTTTCATATTTTTCGAGAAATCGGCTAATCAGTAAAATCACTAAATAAAAAATCATTATTCTGACGATGCAGACCTGAAAAGGCTGCGAAAATTCAATAAATAAATAAAGTTTCGTGCATTAAACCGTTAAAACTAGTTATATTTAATGAGTTATGTGCGTGAAAACGTAAGAGACAAATAAACATTAAATGTTTTCAGTCACATAAGTAGTCCTTTGCACGTTAGTCATCATTTTGCAAACGTTCATCAAAAATTCGTCATGTAAGCCGCGATTTGCACCAACTAGAATTATTAACGAACGATAAAAAATATGATTGCCATAATTAAGTACAAATAAATTTCGTTCAATCAGTTAAGAGATCGATCACGATCTTGTAGAGGTGCGGTAAAATGGTTTTGATAAGGCAAGAAGTGTAATAATATTGTGGTCAAATAATTCTAAAAGTCGTAAAATATACTACGGCAGGGGTGGCCGACTTGATTAGACCCAAGATCTACTGTTTACTGTCGAAACCCTGTGCTCTACCAATTACATCATCATCATCATCAGCCTATTAATGTTCCCACTACTGGGGCACAGGCCTTCCCTATAGATGGAATAGGTAGATTGGACCATGACCCACCACGCGGGCCCAGTGCGGATTGGCGGGTGCTAACGACTGCAGATGCAGCCGGGACCAACGGCTTAACGTGCCTTCCGAAGCACGGACGAAGAACGAACCAATTACATACTTCTTAGTCTAAAATGAAACAGCAAAATATGTTGAACCAAAACACGCAGTTGTTCAACACATCTCTTGAAATTTGAATATTTATCGTTTGAAACCAATGCCCAGAAATCTAGACCTGAGGTTGACTTCGCTTTTAAAAATATGTCCCAGCGCATTCATGGTCATTATTACATGTGGTCCATTTGAAATGTAAATGTAAATATTGAAGCCATTTAATAGATATCACTATAGAAGAAAGGATAAAGCAGATGCGTGCAGCAGTTGGTGATTACAATGCGCAGTCTGTTCTACTTATTTATATTTTTTGACTTGCCACAATCGACTGATCTAATAGTCGTGATCCTGTGCTGCAAACCTGGGATAGCGGCCTTAAGCCGTGGATTGTCTAGTTTTATAATCAAAAAGTGGTAGAACACGGTAATTGCCGTAGCATTGTCACACGGTAATTGTAAGAAAAAATTTTGGACGTGGGCTAGGCAGCAGACGGGACTGGAACCCACACCCTTCGCTATCCGGGCGAATGCGCGGGCCAATTATGTTACCACGGCCCTGACGGCCGTTTCGAATTTTCTCTAGCCTTTCTTAAGCTGCAAGGCAGCGCCATATTTTCCTATTGTAGGTAACCCACAATGTCAAATGAATACCTTTAGAAGTATTAAACATTTGAAAGAAGTAATAACAATAATAGTTATTTTTTTTATTTTTAAGCATTTAACTGCCAGATGTTTAATTCTAAAGAAAATTTTACTAGAAACAAATCCACGCAGCCCATGCTGCAGACGGGACTCGAACCCGCACCCTTCGCTATCCCATAAAAAATATGTGTCAAATTCATTTTGTTCATCGACCTGATAGTCAAAGAAAAAAAAAGTTAGTCATCATCACTTTTCCCTTCCAATCACGGTTCAAAATAACTCCCTACGCCCTCCCCTCTCCCTATATAACCACCACTAATAAAAAAAACGAATATTCAAAACGCGAACTCAATATAC